CGTTCTTCTGCGCTCAATTGATTCGCATTGAACAACTCAAGCTCAGGGGTTAACTCATCGGGTTCGTCCAAATAGCCCTCAAACACGGGAATAGTCTCGAATTGTTTAAAACCAAAGTCACCTTGCGCCTCGGGGTGAGTCTCTTTGATTTTTGTGGCGGCGCGTTTGATTCGCTCGACGGTTATGTCGTAAATGGTTTCATAGCCCGCTTTAAATGCTTCCTCCGAACCTTTTTTGCCTTTTTTTACGCCTGTTTTTTCATCAATCGTGTAAGTCGGCTCATCAATCTGCACGCAAATAAACTGGCGGTTGCCGCCGTCTTCGGCGTTAAGTTGCATCACAGCGTGAGCGGTTGTACCGCTGCCTGCGAAAAAATCTAAAGCCAAATCTTGCTGTTTAACATTTCCAATTTGTAACAGCCCTCTAATTAAAACTGGCGGTTTTGGGTTGCTAAATAAATTTTTAACTCCACTAAATAGCTCTGTTACAACATCATTTGCTGCTTGATTATGACCAAATTCTTCATGCCCCCACCAATTGGTGGCGCATTGTCCTTCTAACTCTCTTTCAAATCGAAAATATTTTTTTCGCGGAAAACCGTCACCATTTTTAGGCCAAACTATTCTATTGTCTTCGGATAGATTGAGAAAATTTAGTTCATCCCCCATCCATTCCTCTTTAAAAACTTTGCCAGAAGGAGATTTAATTTCATATATTGACCCATTTTGGTCTGAACCAGTTTTCCATGGTTTAGTAGCCCAATCTCCTCTAGGGTCTAAGTCTGGATTTGAAAAACTACCTGTTAAATCAACTTTACCTACACCTGCTCGTTTAAATGCTTCCTTGTTAAAAGAATAGGCAATGATATGTTCTGCAACTAAACCTATCATTTTTGTCTTGTCATTAGGTTGATTATGTCTTCTTCGCCAATGTATGTGACCTTCAAAGTTATCCTCCCCAAAAACCTCATCCATCAACAGTTTCAATTGCGCCTGTTCATTGTCATCAATGCTGATAAATATCACGCCATCGTCACGCAACAGTTGCTTGGCAAGGTACAAACGCGGGAACATGAACGTGAGCCACGCGCTGTGGCTGTTTGAACCACTGTCGGTGAACTCTAAAATGCGTTTGGCTTCATCTTTATCTATGCCTGCCAAGTGACTCAATTGCTCTACGGTGAATTTGCGGTCGTCTTGATAAACAAAGCCGTCTGAACCCGTGTTGTACGGCGGGTCGATGTAAATCATCTTGACTTTGCCGCTGTATGCGCCCATGAGGTGCTTGAGCACCTCTAAATTATCACCCTTGATGAGCATGTTTTGGCTGCTAATGTTTTCGGGCAAGTTGTTGTGTTCAGTTTTGGCTTTGAGCAAGGTGCGCACGTTCTCATTCGCCAATAAGCGGGCGTATGACTTGCCCAACCAGTTGAGGCTGTAGCCTTCTTTGGACAGTGCTACACCGCTGGCTTCAACGATTTCTTGTAATTTAGTAGGGATGAATGCGCCGTGTTTGTCAAAGCAGTTGGGAAAGTGGTTTTTGAGTATCTCTAATTGCTTGCTGTTGCTGGTGATGCTGTCATTGGCTTGAATAATGCTTTTCATGTGTGCTGTCC